CATTTAAAAACAAACAAGTTCGCTAATTATAACAGTATTAAAAAAAACAGTTGGAAATATATAATAAAACTTATCATTTGTAAAGTCGTAAACGTTTTTAAATGCCAGTTTTACTAGTTTATACTTTTCATTTTTATCTGAAACACACCTTTGCGATTCTATAAAAACTGACATTGAACTATTATTTTTTTATTTATGGCAAAATTTGTGAAATAATAATCAAATTTTAAATCTCAAGTTTGTTTTTTATATTTTCAAGTAAATTTTTGGTGCAAGATTTATTTGTCAAGTAATATTAAAAATATTCAGGTTCTTTATTTTGTTTTTTTTGAGTAAATATTTTGAACATAAAAAGAGGTTAAACATAGAAAAAATAATTTAGGAATAATAAGTCCAATAAAATGGGACGTCCCAGTACAGAGTTTTGAAAAACAGTTCATATACAAAAAAAGAAAAACAATAATTTTTTATTTTCGAAAACAAACAAATTTTATCTTTTTCGTTATTTTGAATATTTCTCCAAACTATATACAAATAGACCACTGGACCTTAGTCTGGTAACTCAACATTAGTCCCTTTATTTTTAGTTTTAAAACAGGTTTACTTAATTTTTATAGTAAAATATCAGGTTTTTGCACACACAATAAGAAAAGAAGATTCTTGAAATCAATTTTTAATTATTGTTTTACTGAACAGAAAAAAGGAAATAATCCTTTATTTCATAAAATAAAATCATATTGAATTTGATCTTAAAACTCAATATGATTGTATCAAAGATGGAAGTGGCGACTTGAAATTTAATACCAAAGTAAAGATAACGAAAGAAGATGCCATGGCACTCTGCGAAGATGCTTTTCAAGACAACACGGATATAACAAGTTTTGTATACGAAGGAACCGATAAACTAGTCATTGGAAAAAATGCCTTCAAAGGTGTGACCAAGATTGTATCATTAACTGCAAACTCTGGTATTCAGTCGTTGGGAACTAGTGCTTTTGAGGGAGACGTAGCTTTGACCAAAATAGATTTAACTGGATTGGCAGAAATACCAGAATCTGCTTTCAAAGGATGTTCGAAACTCGCCGATGTGACAGGAACAGAAAACGTCGCTACTGTCCAGAAAGACGCTTTCAATGGGTGTGTGAAACTTCTGTCAGTCAATTTTTATGCGCCACTAACAAAACTTCTCGATTCACTTGCATCACAAAACAATCTCTTTTTTCACGGAACAGTTCAACCAACTACTCTCCCAGATCCTACAACTCCAATCAATAATAAATTGAAGGTTTTTGTGACTGATTCATATACAGCTGGAACCTTTGGGGGTCTTATTGCACTTAAAGCTAATTGCACCACACTTCAATGTGTTGATATAACTACGAAAATTCCAGATGAAAACCCACCTCAACCAGCTGCTAATATGGAAAAAGCTCTTAAATGTGTTGATTGCGATTCAAAGAAAATGAGTGTTGATGGTAACAATTATTACTGTGAAATTGATATGACCGAGTGCATTAAAACACATGCCGATTGCAGAATTTGCACAAAAGGAAAATGCAAAAAATGTGTCACAAGT